TAACCATGTAGGTAAGATTAGTCTGAGCCTTTCCTTTAACAGGGCTCAGAATACATATTGACCTGGTGATTAAAAGTAGTATTTGTTAGCATTGAAGAGAAAGAGTTCAATAATCTTTTAAAATATTTATCTTTGTCCTTTCATTGATCATGTACCAAATAAGGAGCTCTTGCAACTTGTTCTCCTCCTGTGGCTATAAAACATGAACACAGATCATTCTGAAGCTTTCAAGGTACAGAGCATGTAGGGGTAAGGGATTTTTAGTTTTTTTTCAGAACTGCAGATGTTTCTTCATGCCCAGCAATTTCATCAAGTTTGTGAAGGAGAGAAACCTTCAGTCATCTCCGTCCCAGTAGTTCATTGGAAAAACATATCTTGTATTAAACACTTTAAAGATTCATGAAGCAGCTTTAATTTTGTTTGCATTTCTTCCTGAAGGGTAAAGCTGTCAGAAATCTCTAAATGCATTGCTTAATCCATTTCCAAACTCAGTATATTAAGGTCTGTGAGCAAAACTAATTTTTGGAGTTTAGCAAGTTTGCAGACAGGAAAAAAAGGCAGGGGAAATAGAGCAGGGAAGAATTTCCTCTTTTTTTTTGGTAATGCACTGAACTACCTGCATGGCTGCAGTGACAGTCCTTCACGAAAAATGGTGCAACCCAAATGGGCTGTAAGAGCAGCCTGATAAATAGAGGGCTTCACGTGTTTCTCTTGGATCAGATACAAATAGAGTAAATACATCTATCAGGGAATGAAGGTTCAGACACAAGAAAATTTCCTTCCCCTTAATGCCACCAAGCTTGCAAAGTTGCCATGAGCGGTTTCATGTGCAGCTGAGTACCTTTCGTTTTCTCATGTCCCAGTCTCTGATCTATGACCTTTTTATGTTAGTACATGATTTTTTTCCCAAGTTTTTGGTCTGCCAACCAAAGAGCTTTTCCCTTTTTCTTAAGCCTGCAAGACAGTGCTCACAGTTGGGCTCAGGAGGCTGGCTGGGAAATGTTCATTTAAGGAGCCAGTTCAATGTAAGGGGAAGAATGAGTGAAAATCATCTCCAGAATAGAGAAAAATGATCTGAAAGGAAATACCTCTGGGTTGCCAGCCAAGCTCTGCAGTAGCAAACACAGAATGAGAACACTTAAAAGACCTTTCCCAAGACAACAGCAGGATGCCCCAGGTTTGATGCTTGGCGTGTTGTATGAACAGTGCCTGAAGGGCTGTTTCATGTATCAGGTCTAATCCATCCTCAGCTGGCCCATGGAAGTGATTAGCCATGGCATTGTCAGCCTTTGCTGGAATCCCCAGTCCTGCAGACATCCAGCAGCGTGTCCCTGTCCGGTGTGCCCTGGAGACCGGAGCTCCTCTGCTGCTTGGACTCTGTGGCACCTGCTGACAGCTCAGAATGCTGATTTAAAATCACAGGAATATTAAGTGTAAGCTGTGCCTGCCCAGCTCAGACCATCTTTAGCTACCACAGAGGTCAAATGTACTCTCAGTTCTTCCCAAACTCAGGAGTGTTGGATGTTAATGAGGCCGAGTTTCAGCTCCTCCCTCACCCACAGTTCACTGTGTGGTCAGACGTGGTGCAGAGAACTGGAGACCCTGGTGGGACCCAGCTCCCTTCCCTGGCAGAGCATTGGGAGCTTTAAACACTCAGGCACTGCACAGCAGCAGGGCTGAAAAAGGGATGATTTCTAAATTTCTTACTACGCTTCTGTTGGCAGTAAGGCTGAAGGATTATAAAGGTGTGCCTTGTTAGTGTATTTTGTACAGTTTGATTTCTTCACATTCTGGTAATTTTATTCTGGAAAGAAATAACAAAAGTGGCTAGCCTTGTGCTAAGCTGCTCCATCATTAGCTCATAGGTTTCTTGCCTGATGATTTCCTCTGTGTCCAGGCTGCTGCCCCAACCATTTTCTGCAAGGGTGCCCTTTGGCTCATTGGAAGTCTTGGTACAGCCTCACTTTTTCCCTCTATAATGAGCTGTCCCTGCTGCCTTGCTCCAGGACCAGTCAAGGGCTGCTCCAAGGAGGGCTCTGTGAGTTCTGACACTTCTTCTGTCCCTTGCAAACAGGCACCACTGGCTGACCCACTGCAGGGCACTTGATCCATGGAGGTGCTGAGGGATGACAGCCACGGGCGTGCTTTGGCAGTGTGAGGCTTGCTAATGCCACTGCTTGGCTAGGAGTGTCAAACTCTGGTGAGGGTTTCTTGGAATGAAGGAAGTATTAACTGTAAATCACTGTGGCTGGTGTCTAATTAGAGAACGCTTTGGGAAGAACTCGGGCGACAATCCAGCAAAGCACTTAAGCACCCACTGATTTTTGAGGAAAGACACCTTAACTGGGATTGCTCATGCCCTCAAACATCATCACAAGTGTTTGTTAGTGGACAGTAATTTCTCCTGACTACCTCAGCACATCAATCTCACTTTCTGAAGTGACCTGAGGAGTTGTGAGTTCAAGGTTGACTTGAAGTCTGCAGGAAATAAACCCTTAAATCACAGCTGTGCTTTGGAAAGTGCTCAGATGGACAGCTGCTTTTACTGTTCTTCATCCTCACTGCAATAAATAAGTTTATGACAGCTTTTAAACCACTGCTGAATTCTGAGGTTTGCTTTTGCCTATCTAGGTGTTCCTGTTGCAGTGGCTTTACTAAAAATATTGCAATATGTATTGTTTGGAGTGCTCTTTCCAAATGTAGTCAAAACACAGTTTTTCAACTATGTCCTGCTAATAGAAAAAAAAAGGGGAGAACTGACAGACAGAAGGTTGCAGTGAGAAGTGATACAGATAACTTCATGCAGGTGGAATAAGAAATTCAGACCAGCTAAAACAGTCCCTGATGCCCTACAGTGTAAGTCATCACTGGGAACTAAGGCATGAAATGTCTTGTGAACCAGCAAGGCATTGGAATCACACTTGGGACAATAATGCATTGATTTAATGTGATGAAGAACAAATAAATCAAAAATTAGGGCATTATGGTTTAGGTGTGCTTGTTTTAAAGGTAGAAGTAGATTTTATTTTTTTTTCTCAGAATGAAAGTGGGAGGATGACAGAAAAGCATTGGAATTAGTCCTACTTGTAGTTACCCTATGAGTATGACCAGGAACACATGGCTGGATGCCCAGGTGTTTCAGTTCACTTGCCAATAAAACAAATACTTTTTACTCCAAGATGTTCAGCAAAATTCCTAATTCACAGAGGTCTTGTTGTATTTCAGTGGTTCCCTGTCTTTTCCTAGGCAACTTTGGTCCTTCCACGCATGCCTCTCTATTTTGGACATTTGTGTGGTCCCACCTTTCCTTTAATTGCTTGTGCCTTCAATAATAAGTGCTGCTTTGAGTGACCTCTCATTCTTGCTGCAATCCCTCCTCCTTTGCCACAGCCTCTTTTTTGTCTCCAGAAGGGTCACACACTTTCCTTCCCTGCCTCCTTTCCTGCTGTGGGATCCCACGAGGAGGGAGGGCCTGGGGTGGGCTCCCTCCTCTGCCTCACCCCCACCAGCAGTGCTCCCACTCCCTGGGGCCTGGTCTGATTCCCTGAGGTGCCATTTCTGAGGTGTTGATACAAGTGAGATGCTAGAGAAAATTGCTGTCAGGTAAAAGATGTCCCTCATAACAGGAAATCTTGCAAGGTCCATGTTTTTAGCTGATGGCTCTTTCCTGTTACTGCAGTATTCCTGATGGACTTCTTTGATACATCAGTGTGCTCAAGAGGAAAACCACATTCAAAAAAGAAATTCAAAAAAGAGGGCTGTGTCAGAGCATTCATACCTCCTGAGAACCTCTCTCCTTGTTCCAGGCTTATTTTTAGGCTCTGTAAGAATGCTTCTTAGCCAGAAGTTTTACACAGTGGTCCTCTGTGTGGCCCAGGCCAGAGCAAGCTGCCAGTAAGTAGCTGTGGTAACACTGGAATCAATGACAAGTGCTCAGTTCTCTGAGCAAATAGTGCTGGGATCAGGAATTATGAATAATTACACTTTACTAGAATTCATAACTGACTTCCAGAGGTTACTCAGCAGTCAAGCATTTGTCACCTGCCCTATCCCCATGACTGCTGATAGTGGGGAAAAAAGTGATTGTTATGCCAAAGTAATGAGCACAGAGGTCAGAAAGTTTGATAAGAGCAGGAGAAGTCATTTTCTGTGATATCATTAGCAGTATTTTAGAGAGCAGGTTCAGTAATTGCTATGGTAATTCTGAATGGCTTTTGACTGTGAGAACAAGTAGGTAGTTTTTAAAATTAGCCTCTTTGCTAATGGGAGAGAATCCCACTGAAATCAGGCAGTATGGTGTTACAGAGGGGCATGGGCCGAGGGCTTGGGAAGCAGGAGCTCTGCTCTGCGCTGTGTAACTTCTCCAGGCCTCAGTTTTTCTTCTCAAAATGATCTGTGGTAAAATATATGTATCAGTGAGCAGCACAAAAGCAAATTGTGAATCAGGATGTAGCAAGGCTACAGAGGGAGCAGACCTGTTTGCAGATGTTTCAGCAAGTGCAACAACCATCGTGTGTTTGTTATTGCTGCACAAACTGCACAGCCAGAAAGGGTGGTGAGTGCTCTCTCTATTGGCAAATACAAAATTTGCTTGAGCAAATGCTGGTCTTAAGGTTCTGATGCAGTTGTGAGTTAGCAGCAGAGCTGCTGGTGGTTCCCCTGGGAGCACAGCCGGGGTGTGGCATTGTAGGTTTTCTCCAGGTTGTTTTTGAGCAGATTCAAAGGTTTCAAGAGATGCTTTTAAGCTCACAGGGAATGAGAGCTGCTACGAGTCTGTGTGCACGCTCACACCCTGTGTTTTATACTGGGCTGATGGAGAGGGTGCTGCTCCCAACCAGGCTGATTCTTTTGAGCCTTTACCACATCTTTCCTTGGGGTTAGAAAGGACAAAGTCTGCAAATCCCTACACGGATGGAGAGCAAGGAGAGGAGGATGCTCTTCAGTCTGTTTTGACCTCCCAGTGGCTGCTTGGGTTTTAATTGTGTCTTTCCCCTGTCCAGGTGCAAGCAGATGACCTACCCAGACGACCTGCCCCAGATCTCTGTGGTGTTTATATTTGTGAACGAGGCTCTCTCGGTCATCCTGCGCTCCGTGCACAGCGTGGTGAACCACACCCCATCCCACCTGCTCAAGGAGATCATCCTGGTGGATGACAACAGTGACAACGGTGAGCTTCTGTCACTTTGCCTCTAAGCACTGTGCCCCGTGTGATTTCCAGGTGTGAAATGTAAATGTGTTTGTTGTTGAGAGGGTTGATTGAGCCATTTGCACAGAGCTGTTAGTAAATATTGACTATTTGTATAACAGTCAAATGTTGGATAAACCCTTTTGATTTCACTGAAATCCTAACTGAATGAATGGCATTTATGTAGGCAATCTTAATAGGACACTTTTCTCCAAATTTTTGGATCCAGAGGAATATCATCATCAATAGAATAAAAGTTCAAATTCTGCTTCCAAGAAAAAGTGAGGCTACAGATTCTCCTTAAAGATAGCTGCTACTCTTTTATATGGCAGCACATTTTTTCTTCATGTTTTAGTCCGAAATCAAAATATTGGTGAACATATAGGGTGCTATTATGTTTCACAATGCAGTCATTTTGAAGATTCTCAGGATACGAGGGAGTAGCAGTGTTGTCATGTTTAAACTTGTACATTACACTTCTAGAACTGATATATCTTTTAAAATCATATTTATTTCCAATAAGCCTAAAATTTATCATTTCTTCCTCAGATCAACAGCTTTAAGTTCTTTCAGTTTTAGGTTGCTTTTACTCTTTGAGATCCCCAAAGCAAAGGGAGAGCTGAGAGAAGAGAGAACACAAACAAAAATAAGTTCCAAAACCTATAGATTTAAGAAAATGTTTGTGCAATTCAGATTTCAGTTATGGTAGTGTAACCTGTGGAGTAATTATGTGAGATTGCAAAGCGTTTGAGTCAAGGCAATCCTGAGGAAAATTGAAGTCATAATTTCTCAGTGAACTCTTACATGGCTTTTCTCTGCCACTCTTCTAAATAACTGGAGATTTATCAAGTCTTTGATTCCAGTGATAATGATTCTGCTGTCTAATATAGATCAGAAAAAGGAGGCTCCTAATGTCCTGGAAGCTTCTACTAGTTTTTCTGATAAATATATTTAGGCAAAAGCCACTTTATGAATACGTTTCAGTGTAAATGAATTACCAAACTACATTGAGTTTAAAAAAAATAGAGAGACCATTTTGGTAATTTCCCTGTTTATAAGCCTCTTGAAATGAAGCTGAATAAGGGTGAATGAGTTCTGCTCCATCTGTGATTGAATGCCTGAAAATGAACAAAAGAGAAGTCTATTTGAGATCTTCAATATCCATTTAGTTAAAAAGGAAAGAAGCCTGGTATTGAGGAATCTTAATTATATTTAAGGAAAAACCCTCAAAATTAAGGGAAATTAATTGTGATCTGAATTGCATCTTGACCCAAAATCCATTGAGGTTATTTTTCTAACTCCTACTGAACAGCATAAATCAGAAAAAAAAATCACCAGACTGGCACGTTACACTTCTTTCTGGTCAGAATTGCTCTTCCAGAGGCCAGTTGTAACCTAATGCAAATCATCTGAGAATCAGAATAGTAGTTTTTAAAAAATACATAGACAGACTACCTCTTCAACACTGTACTCAAATCCATCAGGCCATATCAAAGCTGGGCAAGTCTCTGGTGTGCAGGGAATTTCTCTGAGCTCTGCTCTGTGCCTCAGCTGTGGTTCTGGGTTTGCATCTGGGAGCCTGACCAAGGGTTTGGGAATACTGAAGGATTCCTTTCCCTCTCTAATAAATCAGAATAAATCAGAGTAAAACATAACATTGTATTTACTCATTCTAAATGTCTGTGTGGCTTGCTTTTTTTTTTGACCTGCAGTTGAGCTAAAATTTAACCTGGACCAGTATGTGCACAAGAGGTACCCAGGCCTGGTGAAAATCGTGCGCAACAACAAACGGGAGGGGCTGATCCGAGCCAGGATCCAGGGCTGGAAAGCAGCAACCTCTCCTGTGGTCGGGTTCTTCGATGCCCACGTGGAGTTCAACATTGGCTGGTGAGTGCTGGCAGTGCCCAGAGGGACAGGGGCACTGGGACACGGGCTTTGCTCAGCCCCAGGGATGAGGAGGCTGCAGGCTGCTGTTACCATGTCAGCAATTACTCCTCAATTGTGTTCCTGATTATTGCAACATTGCTGACAGGCTCCTGCAATGACTGCAAGACCCATAAAAAAGCTGTTGTGCCTGGTCTAGCATGGCTCAGTGGAGAGAGAAGTAATTGGAACCAAAATGGATGTGAAATCTCAAAGCAGTCAGATGGGGAGACACCATTAAGGAGGCTCTGAGCTGGAGGGTTTCAAGTGCTTTTCTTACCTCCTTGTCATTTTCTATCATTTCTTCTTAGGAACTTGAATACCAATCTGATTTCCTCATAAATTTTCTTGCATTTACATTTGAGGGAAACATTAAATTATTGCCTGCATTCCTTTAATAGGGCTTGAAATTAGTGTGCCTTTCCCCATCCCCTTTTTCTTTAATGGGCCAGAACTGAATTTGGAGTAAATCTTTGTAGCACCACTTGGTGGCCAATATTTGGCATTACTGGAAGTCTGGACTATAGGAGCTGATCTGTACCATCAGCAGCAAAAGGACTTCTGGGACCTTCAGCATGTAAAACATGCATTTTCCAAAGATAGGCTGGTATTTGATAATGATGATGCAGAGTTATGGTGGAAATGATTACACTCTGCAATTCTGGGAGATATCCTCAAATTAAAACTAAAAATAGCTGTACTTACAACTAGAGAGAAACTTAATTGCAAAGGAGTAGAGTGTTTATTTTTATATGTTCATGAATATCTTTATAAAATGGAAGATGCAATAAAATAAGTCTTGTAGTGCACCTGCTTTATGTTAATCCCATTTTTTTTCCTTAGGACTATGTTAGACTGTAAAAGCAGCTGTAGTAATTTTCTAGATGCTGAAGAGCTGGTTTAATTTATTTATTTGTTTTTAAAGCAGGTAGATCTTTCACATTTTTTCAAACATTCATCTAGGGTAATATCAGCTATGGGACAGGATCAGGGACTGGGGAGAGCATGCCCTGGGTGCTGTCCCCAGTGCTTGTCCCTGCCCAAGCTGCAGTTTTCTGGTGCTTGAGGAGAATTTTGTTATCATTTCATAAGGACATTGAGATCTGACAGATGTACTGTACCCAGGGAAGCTCAGCAATGGTGTCAGTAAGCAGGAAAGGGCTTTGTGGTTGCTTTGGGGTTTGTTAGGGGTTGTTTTTTTTACTGTACTGTTTTGCATTAATGTCAGAAAGGGTTGAAATCAGCATAGCAAGAACCTGGACTGCTCAGTCAATGAGAGTGTGTATATCCAAGATAAAAGGTTTGTGTTTTCTGCCCCCTGCCTGGTGCAGCCTCCTTCCAGCAGAGCTCTCAGGTCTGAGCTGTTCTGGTGAGCCAGGCTCTGCCCCTGCTGTGGGGCACTTGGTGGATCCATGGGGACAGCAAATGTCCTCCAGGAGCATCCTGTATCCCTTCATTTCAGAGCTGTACCTGTGGGCTGGGACTGTTTCCTGCTGGTGTTTCTCCTCTTGCTCCACTCAACCCTTGTGGCTGCTCAGAGCAGTCTCAATCCCTGCTCCAGCCACTTCCTCCTAGCTTTAATTCTGTCCACCTGTGCCTGTCCTCTCCATTTTCATCTCATCTCCTTTGACTGGGAGGAACTAAAGTCCTTCCATCTGGACTGCTCTATTTTTTCCTACCAGGTTAGCACTGCCCCCAGTCCACAGCTCTATAAACTCAGGAATCAGGTGGGAGTCTTTTGTTAAAGCTCTGCTGTTCTATTCTCCTACAGGATTGCACCTTGCATGAGCATTTCCCTCCATTTTCAATTATTTTATTTATGCATTCAGAGGCCACGTGGATTGCTCCCACTAAAAGCTGTCTATGGATTATTTGTGAGGCAATTAAAAAGAAGCCAATTTTTTTGCCACAGAAAAGAGCATTAGCTTTCTGTTTGGTTTGTGTTCCATCCAAAGTCAAGTGCCTGCAGTGCAATTTAGTTTCCCAATCTATGGCTGCTTTACCTGCCTAATCAGTTGGCAGATTAATTCATAAAGAATCAAAGAAGGACTTCATCACTTTCTCATGAAATATGCAGGACTGACAAGAAAAAAACTTCTTTTAACAGTAGTGGCCCATTTACAGGTGGCTTTTTGCCTGATGTTGTACTATAGCATTTTATGGGCTCTCTCAGCATTGCTCTCCAGGGACACTTCTTCTAAACTAAATTACAATCTGGTAGGATATAAAAAAATACTCTACAACCTGGCAGGTCAAATTAGCTATTGAATTATTTATTTTGCTGTGTTTAATTGCTGCTTTTTGGCTTCTCAGGTGTAGAAATATGTTATCTCAGAGCAGTGATTTTCGGCTGACCTGTTCCCCTTAAGGCTTTTGATAGTGTGAGCCAATACAGCTGCTGTGAGAGTGGAAGTGGGGAGGACTGCCTGCAAGGGAGGCCATTGCTGTTAATTCTCAAATGGAATTTTAAATTAGAATTACAGGGTAATGGACATGCACATTTCATATATAAAATTCTACCTGTCCTGTTGTAGTAGAACCTGGTCTGTTTTTAATATTTGCTGATGTCAGTGGGAGTCAGCAACCCAGCAGAGCCAAGAGGGAGAAAAAGCTGCTGTGCTTTCCTCTCTGAGGGTAAAGTTAATCTTGTTTAGTTTGTTTTCCTTCAGTCCTCTGAAGATTTCAGCATTCCTGCTCTGACTTCTGGGTTAGGTCCACCCAGCATGCCTGAAGCCATCCCCAGTAACACTGAGAGCAAACCAGCATGGATGCTGATTGTGTTGCAGAACATGCAGAGCATTGTATAAACTCCTGTCTTTGAGAGATGGGAAAGAATACCATGACAAGGAGAAGAGACCTTCCCTACATTATGTCTGGAGCAGGAAAGAGATTACAGAGATAGGGTGTTAATTCTCTGGGTGAGAAAAAGGACACATTGAGTGAAGGAGAGCAGAAATCAGTACATGAAAGGCAGAAACCACAATATATTAGCAGCCATAAAGAGGGTGCTAGGAGCCATAAAAGAAGACATAATGATAGAGTATTATAGTTGCATTCTATCTTAGGAATTGCTTTTGCTCCTATCACAGAGGTATTGTCAGAGCACTGAATAGAGTTATGCAGTCCTGTAGTAATTAAAATTTTGCCAGACAAAGGGCGAGTGTCAATAAGGAAGCAGGAAGTATAAGGATTTAATCAAAAGATTTCAATATACCAGCCAGACAGAGACTGACATGAAAAAGAGAACATGAAATATAACTTGAGTGTCCATCAGATTGTGCCACGCACATTCCATCTTTATGGATTATCCCTGAAGTTGTCAGTGTTTTAAAAATATATAAAACTGGTGTTTTAATAAACTAAGAAGAGCTAATTATCAAGAACCCTAGGGCTATGGATGGTACTTTGCAGATGCTACTTTATACTGTAAGGTGTAGTGCTATTTGTTGTGGTGGCCATAAGCAATTTATTCTCAAAAAGGTGTGAAAAGGAGGAAAGGATGTTGGTTTCCTCCTGATTTTCTACTGACTTTGGTTATCCCAAGTACTCTGTAACAGAGATGTGGTTGTGCTTTTTTGGAGTAAAGCCACAGGGTCTTTGTCCCCCCCTGAAAGCTCCCTGGTGACATTTTCATGCAATGTACTGGAAGCCAGTCTCTACCTGCAGGTAAACCTCCCTTTTCAAGCTCAGGTGGCTCTCTGGGGATATGACAAGGTCCAGGTGGCTCTTTCCTTCTAAATGAGAGAGAAGTGTGAAGGTGAAATTACCTTTGCAGTCCTTCTCCTGTGCAGTCTCTCCCCTCTGGAGCGTTCAAGCACAACGCTGGTGCTCGGGACGTGGTTCTCTGCAGCTGCCCTGGTACCAGGCCACAGCTGAACTGGGAAACACAAGTGGAAAGGGAAGAACATGTGTTTGTTAAGGGAGCTTTTCCTCATCCAAAGCCTTAGGATCACTTCAGTAACTTGGTAACTCTATATATATAAACTCTATATATAAAGTGTATTATTATATATAATATATTTAATATATATATATAAAGTATATGTATTATATATAACTCTATATATTAAGTGTATTGATGGAATACACTTTTTAGATTGCAAAACCAATATAATCTGAGTGCAGCATGCAACAGAAGCCATGTGGGCCTTTGGGATCCATGGGACAGTGCCAGCCTACACGCAGAGCATGTACCAGAAAAGCAGCTTCAACTATTCATCTACCTCAACAACCTAGAATGTTCACTGAAGCATCCTTGTTGCTTTTCAGTGGTGCAGAAAAGGGCCATTGAGGTTTGGCAGCCAAAGAGCTGATCTTTAACTCTCCAGCAGGCGTTGGTGCCGCGTTCCCTCTGCTCCATCTGGGGACTATGGGTCTGAAACTTCCCTGGGTACACAGAATGCTGCTGGAGATGTCAGGCAGGACAGTTCTCTTCTCTCTTAGAGACTGAGGAAGGGAGAATGAAATTTATTTCTTTTTTATATCTCTGAACACTTATTTACAGGGTAGGCATTCCACATTAAATATTCTGCAGATGGCCTCAGTGAAGAATTATGTATGTCAGTAGATCTGCTTGTCTGCATCTGATAAATGTATATTGTCAGTGAAATGTGGGGTAGCGTGTAAAATCATGCAAAATAAGCTTTCAGTTTACACAGCTTTCTTTTCTCTTACATTTCTCTGTTAAGTTTATACTTCATGGTACCTGACAGTGGTAGAGCCAGAGTACAATACGGTGTTAAACCCACTGAGCCATAAAATCGAGCAGATGAAACCCTGTTGTCTTTCATTTATGTCTTAGAAGGACTCTTCCCTAACTTCCTGCAAGAAGAGGGAATTCTGATTTGTGAAAGTAGGAAAAAGAAGGATTTTTCTTAATGTCAGTTCTTCATTTTTTATTGGAGTAAAAATTAGCATAGTGATGGTGGAGAAGTAAAAAAAAAAGAGGCACGTTTGTCTCAAAA